TTTTCTTTTAAAGTTTGTCTTCCAAGTTAGAACACAACAACAATAATAATGTTTCTAAATAAAATTGAATGAGCTACCATGTCAAAACCGTGGCCAAATTTGATATAAAGCCGTTCCCTCCCGCAGCTCTTGGAGTGGGGTGAGGTTTGGGGTGGGGAGGGTGCTGCCCACTTAATCTTGAAAAGGCTGTTTTACTCATGAGAAAATAGACACTTGTTTGGCAATTTTAAAGCATCTGTGTGAGCCACATCACCAGCGACAGCAGCAAGAGTACCTCCCAGGTGCAGACACCTCCCAGGCCCCCCAGCCCGCTTCACCCCCCGCCCCCCCGCCCCAGTCTCTGTCAGATCTGTCCAAGTGTCATCTTGGTTTCACATGTGGAAACAGAGACAGAGGCAGCATGCCAAGTGACTTCTCCCACATCACGAAGCAGCAGCTCGTGCAGTGCCCTTGTCTCTGTTTAATTCTTGGACCCGTCACTCCCCTGCAGCCCCAGCTTTTTTAGGGCAGCTCCTTCTGTTTTTCCATGTGTGCACTTGTGCAGGAGTTCTGTGCCTGCTTCCCGTGCACACTTCAAGTTCATGGCGGGCCAGGGTTAGTTCAGCACGGCTGTAGTCTGGTGTGCTTTAAGGGTATTTGGAAATGATGAAAGAAGAGAAACTGCTCTGTAGTTCCCAGAACGGTGTCTACACCACAGAACCTTGTTAGAGTCTGCACGGATTCCGCTAAAGCGCATCAGCATGCTTCTGAGGCTTCAGGTAACTTCCTGGCAGCCTTGTTTGTTTTCATTATGCTGCCTGACTTTCACGCCATAGCTCAAAAAATAAATTAGATTTCAGTGCAGATGATTAGAGGTGGGAACAGCGCTGGCTGGTTCTCTTATATCTTCATGTACAAATGTACACTTTGCTCTGCAATGAGACCTTCTCTTTGATTTAGAAATGTGGACATTGAACTCAGGAGCTTGTAGGATTTCTTTGTTTTGTGAAAAGCACCCTCACCCCTCTGCATCAAGGCCAAAATACAGTTTGGATACTGTTATCTTCTCCACCACATCCCCACCTCTAGGACGATGAAAAACACTGATTACAGGATTCTCACCCTAATTACGTGATACAGTTTCCCATACTGTTATCACATGTTGCTTTGCACAGGATCTGACTATTAACACAGGTTTGCACAGAGTCTGACTATTAATCCAATTAACACAGGTTTGCACAGGGGCTGACTGTTAGCCCAGGAAGGTTTGCACAGGGTCTGACCATCAGCACAGGTGGGTTTGCACAAGTCTTACTATTAACACAGGTTTGCACAGGATCTGACTATTAACACAGGTTTGCGCAGGGTCTGACTATTAACACAGGTTTGCACAGGTTTGACTATTAACACAGGTTTGCACACACAGGGTCTGACTATTAACACAGGTTTGTGCAGGGTCTGACTATTAACACAGGTTTGCACAGGTCTGACTATTAACACAGGTTTGCACAGAGTCTGACTATTAACACAGGTTTGCACACACAGGTCTGACTATTAACTCAGGTTTACACAGAGTCTGATTATTAACACAGGTTTGCACACACAGGGTCTGACTATTAACACAGGTTTGCTCAGGGGCTGACTGTATGCATCTTTGCACAGGATCTATTAGCCCAGGTAGCTTTGCACGGGATCTAATTGTTACCCACCATGTATGTGTAGGTTTGCACAGGCACTCGGCGGTCTTGTTTTTGTGGTCTAAATGTCTTCACTATTCTTTAGGCCTATGGTCTTCTGAGAACAGATCTGGTTCTTCTCCACTGCTTTCCTCTTCCCCGTGTGTCCTCCACCTTCAGATGCTTTCCAGCCAGCCTGAGAGAGCATTCCTAGGGGAGGTAGCCCAGGGCAGAGGGCGCCTTGCCGCCACTTCTGTCAGCAGCATGCTGGGGGTGCATCTGTGTCAATCACAGAGAACCTGGCATGGCACACACATGTCACCAGTCACAACATTGTCCCTTTTGTGCCAGTCACAGCAACCCCTCTGCTAAGCCTCCCTTTCTTCACGGGGCCTTGTCTACTGCTGCCAAGGTTGTTGTGCATCTAGTGTGGATGTCTGTGGAGATCCCAAAGTAGAGGTGCTCATCCTCTAGATACAGGAGCTCCTTGAAAATGGGAGGAGACAGTCCAGCTGGTAAGGGCCTGATGCACAAGCATGAAGATCTGAGTTCACGCGTGTGCACACATGCACACAGACGTGCGCCAGTACCCCTCCCCACCGCTCACAGATTTCTTTGAAGAGACAAGTGTTCAGAATGAAATGTTTCCCTTGAATTCATTCAGTTCAGGACTCCAGTTAAAATTTAATTACACATCATGGAGTTTGGGCACATGGTCTGTGTTTGGTGGTCTTCGTGTTTTCACTGAATGTGTTAAAATTCATGCTTAGTCTTATAGAATAGGAGGCCAAACTCTGTGAATCAAAGACTTTCCAGGAAAACTAAGAGGCTTTGAGGCATCAGAGAGACCTCAACCTCTGTGTGCTTATGTGTGAACAGGTCGTCATTTGTTGTTAATAAAGCACGCAAGAAGGATTTGCATGAGCCAAGTTTGGGAAAGGATTGCTCATTAGAGGAACAGAAGGAGCTCTGGGTGGACAGGTCTGGGGTCACCAGCACAGCTCCCCCTTCTGCCGCTAGAAGCTTCCTGGCCCCTTCTTAGAAAATCACAGTTGTAGGTGTGGAGTGGGGGTACTCTTTGTTGACCACACACAGCGGGTTTTTTAGACAGTGTGGGCTGTATTGAAAGAAGAAAATGCCACAGAGTTGGTAACTTTTGAACAATGGAAATAACTTCTCACCGTTGTGGAGTTCGGGAAGTCTAGAGTCAGTATGTCCTCAGACTTGCCCACTTCCTGGCTGACAGGCAGCCATGTTCTTGGTGTCCTTCATGGGTGGGGGGTCTTTTGACACCCTCCACCCCCCCTCCCCCGTGGGCATTGTATCAGTTGTTTTCCTGTGGTTGTGATGAAACACCATGGCAACTTGGAGGAGAGTTAACTTTGGTTCTGGTTCCAGAGGGCTCAGAGCTCCTCATGGCAGGAAGGTATACCAGCGAATAACTGGAGCAAGGAGCTGGGAGATCACATCTCAGTCACACACAGGAAACAGAGAGAGTGAACTGCAAGTGGGGTGAGGCTATAAACTCCCAAAGCCCCCCACAAAGTGGTGCACTTCTTCCAACAAGGCTCTGGAACATTCCATAACCTCCCGACAGTGACACCCACGGAGGACCAAGTCTTCAAATACAGGAGCCTGTGGGAGACGTTTCTCATTTAAACCACCACAGATGTAACCTCGCTCATATGCCCTTGCTCTGTTCTCAGGGCTGGATCACTTACCCAAGCCTGAGGTGACTTACCTTACCCTCAGTAGCACCACTCTGAGGATTAGTGTTTTAGTACCACGGAACTTCAGAAGGTGTGTGACTTTAGCTGCTTCGGGGGCCTTGTGACGAGTCTAAAGCTCAGATTGTGCCCTGCTGCAAAGAGTCTGATTGTAAACATAACATTAATAAGTCTCAGCTCTGTTACTGCTTATTGTTCACTTTGCAAGTCAGTATATTTTCTAGAAAAAATTTAAAATAGCCTCCTCCTGGAGCTTCCCAGGGGCTGTTCACAGATTGTTAGCAATGTGGACCAAGAAGGGGGAGACAGAGCTGAGGTGGTCAGGTCGCTGCTGGCTCTGAAGACCAGCAGGCAATAAGGTAAAGAGTCATCGGGTGTGATTCAGTGTTGGCCTCACCGTCAGGGTCAGTGGACACGGACCTGGCTCCCAGGAGGGCAGCTGCTGTAACGTGCTGGAGTTTAGTTGCATAATCTGTCAAATATTTCAGTGCATACAATATCAGAAACCATCTACTTCTCAAGTGGCTTCCAGGGCTGAATGAGGAAACTGGGTCCTGCCCTATGAAGCTTGAAGAATTCAACATTATCTGACTTTGATTAACGTCGCCTGTGATTTCTGAAAGGTCACATTTGCCGAGAAGTTTTATCCTGCAGAGAATATTGACTCCATTCTGGTTATGGTGTCTGCTCATAGAGGGGGATTGAATAATCCTTGTTGTCCTTAGAAGCATATATATTTTAATACAGTTTTAATATAAGAATATTGGTGGATCTGGAGAGAAACAAATCCATAATGTTAACAAATCAGAATGGAAAAAGGAAACATGCATACACATGAATCCATGCACACATATACACACAAGCACATAAATGTGTGTTTATCCACACACATATATACACATATCCATACAAGCATGTATATACATACACATATATACACATGTATGTGGACACATACATACATATACATTTATACACACATATGCTTGCATATATTTACATATATATGCAAATACACACATACATTTATATACATATACATGCACACATATATGTATACATACCTATATGTACACATGTATACACATCCACACATACATCTACATGAGTATAAATACAAGTATACATGCATATGTATGCATTCACAGATATAAACATATACATTAATGTGTACCATACATATATTCCACATACATGAACACAAACATATATGCATACAAATACAATATGCTGACACACATTCATATACATATGTATACATACATATATATGCACATGTATTGTGTGGATTGGTAAAACAACATCTGAGAAGACTCTGGAGAGTTGGGACAATGAGCTCATTAAATTACAGCAGGGGATTTGGAACATCCCTTTAACTATGTCCCAGATGCCTGGTGCATGCCTGACTGGATCTCAGGAGGAGTTATCACATGTCTGAGCAGGTTCAGGCCAGAGATGACTGTGTCAGGATGATCTCACCAGATGTTCTCAATCTTTTTTCCCATTTATTTACTCTGTGTGTGTGTGTGTGTGTGTGTGTGTGCACGTGTGTGTATATATGTATATGCGTGTGTGTACACATGTGCATGTGTGTATGTGTGTGCACATATGTGTGTGTGCATGTGTGCAGGTGAGAGGACAACTTCAGGGAGTCAGTTCTCTCCTACTTGGGTTGGTTTGCGGGATCACACTCAGGTCGCCAGGCTGCGAGGTGAACGAGAGCCTTTAACCTGCTGGGTGATCTTGCCGACCCTTGAGTTTGGATTTGTTGTTGTTTTTGGGCTGGAGACTGAGCTCAGGGCTTCATGTTTGTTCATATTTGCTCTACTACCGAGCTGCCTCCCAGGCCCGATCATTTCCTGTTGTGGGACAGATTCGGCAGGTTAGGACACATCTGTAGAGGACTGACTGCATGGAGAAGTTTCCAGAGGCCGCTGGCAGAGATGCTGTTGAAGACATGAGTGCTGCTTCCTGGGGGAGGGAAGGTTTTGACGTGGGAGTGGTAAGAAAGGTCTGTACATCTCGACCTCCCTATAAGCCATGAACCACACATTGTTGCTCAAGTGATTAAACTGAATAAAAGCTTTAAAAGGAGAGTCTCGGTGGTCCCGGCTCATAGAGCCACATGTAGCCAGTTGTTGGGCTGTGTACACATGTTGGGCCGTGTAGATAGTGTGTGTCTGCCACCATGCAGAGCTCTGTTAGTTTCTGTGACCCTCACTACCTGAAGGGTTTCATGTCAGAGACAGACTCATCGGCTGGCACCGGGAAGGATTGCGTTAGAGTCTCCTAGCAGTGGAGCTGAGTTGGAGGCTGTTGAGAAGGGGACCGTCCTGGTGGCCTCTGTGAGAATATTGCTTGTCAGACGGCAGACGTCACATGCTGTGCCAGGGTGCAGCCACCTCACCGCGTCTGCTCACAGCTTCCCCGATGGCTCTGGCCCCACTGGCCTGGCAGAGGCTCCTCTCAGATCTTTCTCTGTCCATCTTAATTTGACTTAAACTCTCCCTGGGTAGAACAGTAGTTGTGGAGATCATTAAAGCTTTCAGTGAAATCCTGTCTAGAAATAATTCGTTTCTGGGGATAGACTTCTACAATGAACTTGGCTACATGCTGAGGATCTCAAGGCCTCCTGTCCTGACTCCCATCTCAGCTTCAGTAAGTTCAAATGCTCTCAAGGAGAACAAAGCTCAGTTGGAAGTCAGCAGCAGTGTTTCCCTGTGAGAAGCCACTAAACAAGTTGCTGGCCTGTGTTTGTGGCGTGTCTTTATGGCAAAGGTATGTTTTCTTAAATACTTAGTCAGCCTTAAACAGTGAACTGTGAGGCCGGCCTGTAATCAACCAGGATTAAAAGCCCATTAGTATTTTAAAGGCTCCTGTCTGTGAACTCCACAGCCAGGGCTAGTTACCCTAGCATACCTTAATCGAAGCTTTATGAGCTGTCTGGTCCCAGATCTCAGCTCTGGTCAAGCGTGGGCAACTTTATTTTAATTTTTATTTTTACGTTTCTGAAACAACATGTTCAAACATCCTGACGGGAGCAACGAAGGGAAGTGATGTGAAGTGAGTGTTAGGACTGTCTCCCGCAGGGATGAAGAGAAGGGACTGTCGCCCACAGGGCTGTGTAGACAGACTGCGGGCTGCATGCTTCCACTTTGTTCCCCGCCATTATATGATTTTGTCATTGCTGCCTCGAAGCTGAGGACAGCCTTGAACTCTCTGTCCTTCTGTCCCAACTCTAGGGTGCTGGGATTACAGACATGCGCTTTTTGTTGTTTGTTTTTAAAACAGCTTTGGCTCTGTAGCTGATTTCTTCCTCTCCCTTCTCTCCTGATAACTCAGAATCGGTGTGTATTGAGGTAAACTCCACTGTCCAGGTGTGCATTTATCATAGAAGTGTTCCATCCCAGCCAAGGCTTGCTGGTCAGGTGACAGGTTTCAGAGCTTGGACTAATTAAGGGCAAGTTCCATGAAAAGAAACTGAGGGATTATTCATTTCTTAAAAGAGAAAAAGAGAAAAAAAGCAGCTCACTATGTGTGTCTACATATGATATGTGTGTATATGTGCATGACCATGTGCGTGCTTATGTGTGTGAGTGTGGGCACACACGCCCCATAGCATGTGTGTGGAGGTCAGAGAACCACCTTAGGTGAAGGACCTGGCCTTCCACCTTGTTTGAGGCAAGGTCTCTTGTTCCACACTACGTAGGACAGGACACCCGGCCATGAGCTCCTGGGGATTCCCCTTTCTCTGCCTCAGTCTGTCTGGGAGTGCTGGGATTGCAGTCATGTACTACATACCTAGCTTATCTGGGCTCTGTGGATTTTAACTCAGGTTCTCATGCTTGTGTGACATGAGCAATCCCCCTAGCCCATAATACACTTACTGATTTTTAAATTAATTGTTAAAGTTATGGGCATAGGTGTTTGCCTGTCTATCTGTCTGTCTGTACATCAGGTGTGTGCCTGGTGCATGTGGAGGTCAGAAGACAATGTCAGATCTCCTAGAACTGCAGTTACAGACAGTTGTGAGCATCCACGTGGGTGCTGGGAGTTGAACCTGGTCCCCTGGAAGGGCAGCCAGTGCTAGTAACTGCTTGACCCATCTCCCCAGCCCATTCTCATTTAACAAATGTTTATTGAGAACTCCTGCTGTGCTAGGTGCTAGCCTAGGTACCAGAGATACTTTAGAGACTGTAACTCAGAAAACACTACATGTTATAAATGGATTCCATCCATTATCTCTGAAGAGCTCAGGGCCATCTTTGACATGCTCTAGGGAAGGCCTGTGTGCGATACTAAATGGGCAGTTTGTATGCATTTGTTAAATAGAAATAGGGGAGTCATAGGGTTTGGTAAAAGGAATTGGATATGTCAGAAGCAGGTGCTGGATGTGGGATGTGTGTTATATGCCCTTTGTCTGAACCAAGATTTAAAAAAAATACAGCTTTTGTGGCGAAGGGTCTCCCTGTGCAGCCAGCAGCCCCGAATAAGAGCACCTGCAGGAAACAGCCAGGATGCTGGATGGGAGGATGAGGTTGAGGGGTCAGAAAGGAAGGGACAGATTAGAGACTTCCGAGTCATAGGAGGGACTTCAGGGAGTCTTGGTGATGGTGGTTAGATGGTCATTCTGGCTGCCTGGTTGAGAGTAGACTGTACAAGGGCAACATCAGTGGCCATGTGAAAAGTCAGCCAGCTGGGCAGAGCAACAGCCCCAGGGGGACCTGGAACCACCCTGGGAAATGATCTGTTCCCAGGAGCGCTCACCTTAGGGGAAGTACACAGGGAGCTGAATGTGGCCCTGTTTAACTGGGCAGGGCCCACACTCTGAAGATTGCTGCTTTGTTTTGCTAAGTGGGAAATGAAATTCCCTCCTTCCATGAGCCATGGTTCTGAATCTGGGTGGGGGAGGGGGCTTCATGTCAGTCCACTGTCTCAAATGGCCTTGGATGTCCTCTGCAACACATGATAGCCTCCTTTCCTGCCCCCACAGTCCCACCTGGGTCATACTTTCACTCTGGTCTTCAGGAATGGTTCCTGTTGGCAGCTATTCATACTAAAAGGGCCTGATTTGATGAGTTTTGGTTGAAAGTTGTTCTGAGAATCACCTGTTGTTGTCCTCAAAGACAGGGGTCTCTGATGTGGAGGAATGGTCACGTAAGGAAGGACAGTCTGGTCTTTGGTAAAGCACTGCCTTAGTCCATTTGAGCTGCTGTAATAAAATATCATGGTCTGGGTAATTTCTCACAGTTCTTAACGATGAGAAGTCTTGCTGCTGTGTTCTTACATGCCAGAAGGGCAAAAGATACGGACTTTCTCAAGCTCTTATAAAGGGCACTGCCTCCAGTTCCAAGGACAGAGTCTTTGGGACCTAATTACCCCTGGAAGAGCTCACATCTTAATTCTTTTGCACAAGGGATTAAGTTTCCACATGCATTTTGGAGAGACACCAACAGACAAGCTGTAGCAAGCATGCTCTTGCTGAGAGCACACTGCTCAGCGGGTCCCATGGGAGTGAACCCTGGCTCTGTCCCTGGCCCACCAATCCCCCTGCAGGGTCTGTCTGTCTACTCTCAGACAGGAAGCAAGGCCTTCCTTACCTGGAGTTCACAGATGCTTCGAGGAGGGAGACTGTTGAGAGACCCTCCTGGCAACAGAAGCTTGTGTTTGAGTGTGTCACATCTTGTTACTATGGCAACACAGAGGCTGCCGCCTTTACCAATGCCCAATTTGTAGCTTTTGTTTCACTGGGTTACAGCCTTTGCCTGCTTGCCCTTGTATCACATTGTGAGTCTTGGTATCTGTATGGTCTGCATGTTGTGTATGTAGACGGCACTCAATAAAGAATTTGAGTAAACATAACTACCGTCAGTTGAGTTCTTCCCACCTTCACAGCCTTCACAGTTCTTCTTCCTCTTGCCTGTAGAGGCATGTGTTGTTCACTGCCATTCAATGGGTGAGAAAACTGAAGACCAAAGATCTGTTTTAACCAAAATAACAAGCCAGGGTGAAGGTGTGAAGGCACTCGGTTGGTTTGTGAGCCCAGATCCTTCTGACCCCAAACTGCCTATTCTTTTAATCTCCACTGTGCTCTGGACCTACACTGTAGTGTAAACCTAAGTGGCAACTCAATGTGTTCATCCCTGGTCCTCCTTGAGAGAACTGGAATTTCACAGGTCCCTATCTCACAGGAGCCAGAATAGTGTTAATATGAGCTATAATAGTATAGAGCTAGTTAATAGTTAAATATGAGCTATAATGTATAAACACAAGACTTTAAATAACACTTCTTCACTCTGTATGAAAAGTTCTTTTAGTGCAGAAATCATCTTATCTTAGACTGGCTCCTTGAAAACCTTCTAATGTTTATTGTAAAGTTAGAGTCTAGAGAGAGGATATGAGGCCTTGTGACTGATTTGTTAATGGGTGCAGTTGTAATATTGTGAAAGGCCATTTGTATTCAGTCCAGGCTTGAGATCCCAGTGCTCTGAGGGTCAGCGTGTTTCTCCCTGAGCTGTGACTGTCCACGTGCCAACTCTGCAGGTCCAAGGACCCGGGCTCTGTGCCCGCACAGTCTGGTCAGAGGGGACAGGCGGTTGCTCACTGGGTTCTGCACACAAAGGCAGGTTGTACAAAGCTGTTTTTTTTACGTTCTGTCCATTGGAAGTGTCACCTGCCGAATATTGTGGCTTTAGTCTTTGTGTGCTTGGAGTGGCCATGGAATGCTTACACCAGCAGTTTCATGAGTGGAAGAGAAATGCTTCTTAGATGTTGTCAGCTGGAACCCTGGAGCTGAGCTGGACACTGCCCACTGTCTTCTCTCCAGGGTATGAATCTCGTCCAAAGGAATAACTTTCAGGGTCTCCTTCACAAGACCCATGCCACAGCCCCTGCTTGGACTTTGTCTTCAATTTTTGGCTTTATCCTCTAACACGTACAAGATGGGTTCCCCTCTTTAGTTTTGTCACTTTTGTCTTTGTACATGACGTCCGTAGGGAACCACCTGGTGGAGTTATGGGCAAGGGGTGGGTGGCAAGAACTAGGAGGTGTGTGCAGGTCTTTCTCTTAACCTGTTACTTCCAGTAGGAAGCGCCCTGCAGCTCACCTGTGGGTGGTGCTTTTAGAGTCAGATAAAACCTGAATTCTTGTTTAATCTTTTGTAAGTAGCCATCTCCGACTGACACTTCTGTTAAAATATAGTATTAGAATTACAAAAACTTTTGAGGGTGAGTGAAGAGCACTCCCCAGTGTTTATTAGTCTCAACAGACAAATTTGTACCTGAGCAACATGCTCAGAACAGAGAAAAAGGCAAAACTCGCACCATGCATGTTCTGCAGTGTGCACTCAGTGTTGAACACAGAGCTCTGCCTTCCATTGTCCTTTGCTTTCCATAACCAGACAAGAGCCTGGTGAGTCCCAGCCCTTCCCCATGCACTTGGCCTGGGCACTGTCTGTGAGCTTCACTCCTGGCTTTCTTGTTGGTCTAACATAGATTGGACTGACCGAAGCCTGAAATGAGCACACCAGGATAGACGGACACACACACACACACACACACACACACACACACACACACACACACCACTCCTTTTCTCTCTGGTACCTTCTGGGACCAGTTTGTCCATGGATATAGACTGGGAACTCAGCTGGGGAATGGTCCAGAGACCTGGGTTCTTTTCTGTGCCGGTGTGTCATGGTCCTCTCAGTCTGTGGTCTTGGCTGCAAGTGAATGCCAAGAGCTGAGGAAGAGTTGTGTGGCCTGAGGTGATGTGACATCCTCTCAGCCATGCTCTGTTGGTTATTGAGCATGTGCAAATTTTTCTGCCTCAGTTGGCCTCCACAGGCTCAATATTCTAGTAAGGCTCCTAAAAGGTGGGTTCACAGACCATGTCAGTGGTTTACTGGTTTGTGGGCAGCTCTTGAGCAACTGCCTTAGGCTTTTTATTCACCCAGGCTGGCTTTCCAGCCTCGCCTCTCATGTTATTCCCTACCCACACCCTGCCCCCAGCTCCGAGCTAGTCACCTCCCTCCCTTCTTCTCCCCCCGCCCCTCTCTTTGTGGAAATCAAAGGTTTGTGGGTTTTTTTTTTTTTCATTTTAAAATTTCTAAGATACTACAAGATCTTGGGCTTTTGAAGGAAAAATCACATGCAGAAGCACCTTTTAACACTGATAATTCCTTTGTAAACGATTTAAATGTTGTGAAGTTCTTTCAGCCAGGTCCCAGGATAGAGTGCTCATGGAGGATTTGAGGTCCTGAGTTACAGTATAGATTGTAGTTTTGTTTTTTTAACTCTTTGGACTGAAACACTGATTGACCCTTCCCCACTCTTGCCATCTAAAAATGCCCACTTACCTTTCAAGAACTAATCTGAGTGGCATGGGTGTTCTGACCATGTCCACCATCCCGAGTATAGGGCAGGCACCCCTTCCCAGCGCCTTGGCTGCAGGCAGTCCTTTATCCTCTCAGGACCAGGATTATTGGGACACTGCGGCTGAGTGCTAACGCTTTGCCAGGCACAGGGAGTGGCTCATTACCATCTGTGGAACAGAGCAAAGGGTGAGCCAGAGGCAATGTGGTATTGCTGGCTATCAGAGTGTCAATCTGTTAACACCCTGCCACCGCCTGTGGTCATGAAAGGCTGGGCAGTACCCAGATGATTGACAGAGTAAGAGTACTCCATGAGGATGTCTTGGGGAACTGGAGTTAAAAGATGGTCTAGATTTTATCATCACCATATGCTATCCAGAGTGTTTGGAGCCCCAATTCAGGTGTTGGAGTTCTGATGTGATGGTGCGCTAGGTGGAGCACCTGAGAGGCTGGTCATCATGAAGGCAGAACCCTGTGAAGAGATTAATGCCCTATGGGAAGAGACAGAGAGATGGCCCCTTGCTTTGCTCAAAGTACATCATAAGATGGCTCAAAGTACTTGGGCACACTCTGATCTTAGGGCCCCTTCAGCTTCTGGAGCTGTGAGAAATGTATGCCACTTGTCTACGCCACCCAGTCTATCATGTTCTGATGTAGCCACTTAAGCTGAGTCAAGCACCATGTGCCAGCCGTTGTACACAGTGAGGGTGAGGGGATCCTCTCTCCCCCACTGACTAAAGCTTTAGCACTGTTATGCACACTGCGACTCCAGGACACATCTGCCCCACCCTCAGTGGAAGCAGCTTATGGTCAGGATCACCCTCTCAGAGCCCTTTGAACATGCTTTGGCCTATCATTTCCCCTTCTCACACTGGAAGTCAGGGTTGCATATGAGTAACACTGCCTTAGGCCTCTCAGACAAGTGTGGCTCTTCTAGAACTTTTTGTACCTTTTCCATCAGATACAGAGGGCCCATTGGCTCAGAAGGTCTTCTTGGAGTAGAGTTGAAATCCAGGTTTTGAAAGAGAAGTGAAGGGATTATCTTTTGAGGATATGTGTGGTCCTGACCCCTGTGCGTATGCTGAGAGGAGTCATTTGTAGGGCATGAAATGAAGGTGAACTTACTTCCTGTCTCTAGCTCTCACACACCATGTGACTTGGTAGACTTTGCTCCATGGAAACATCTTTCTAAAGCTTCTCTCAGTGTACTGAATTAAACTGGAACATATCTCAAAAGCTCAGGAAGTTGGGTCAGCTTGAAGCTTTTAACAGGCCACATTCTGTGTCGGAATCAGCGATGGCAGAGTAAATCCATTGTGCGTGCTAACATTCTGTCTTGGAAAACCACAAAAAGGGACGGGGCTCCAACAGGTCGTTCATGAACTCATGAATGCTGCTTGACTTGGCCTTAAGCCTGAGGTTAGAACGAGGGTCGTTTGATGGATGTTCTGAGGCCTTCTAGGGGCCATGAGCAGAGCATCATTGCATCCAGGGATGCTAGGTTAGAGATCATCCCATCTGCGTAGATCTCAAGGATGAAGGAAACAAAGCCATGAGGCTGGGCCTTCAGGACAGCACCTTCTATCATATAGGTCCTCTCGGGACTCTGTCTCTTCTTCTAGGACTGCCCCTGAGGTCTGTGGGGGACATTTACAGATGTTCAGGTCAGCCTTGCTATCTCAGCCTCCACACCTGGCCATGCTGTTTCCATTTCCTTCCAACACTGTAGTTGATCAGAATTCAGAGCTCAGTCCCTGCTCTCCTCTGGGAGGCCTTGGTCCATTCAGCCCCCAAGTGGGATCAGCTGGATGCTCCTTGCTGTCACTTCCTTCTCCCTCTTCCTGTCTGACCCCTTGTCATGCTTCATCTGACTCCTGTGGTCTTCCAGACAATGAGCTGACTGAACTCCTGGAGGAACAGCATGTGTAAACTCTCCTGGCCTCCCCTCCCTTCCTCTCCCCTCCACTCCCCTTGATTCTCTTCTCCTTCCTCCCTATCTTTCCCCTTTCTCCCCCGCCCTTTGTTGATCCTGGTCTGCATCTGTCCTTCCCAGCACTCTGCTGATATGGAAGGGCCTCACACATGTAAGTGTTCTAGACAGAAGCCCCTCTGTAGGGCAGTCCATTGCTCCTGGCACTCTGCTGGACAAGTCATTCCCAATGCTAATCCTGAGATTCAGCAGAGAAAAACCACTCCACCATTTTGGGCCAATTAAAGCAAGCTTTATTAAAATATTTTATATTGACCAAGATGGAATTTGGTCAGGACCACTCCTGGGAGACATGAAGCTGAG